AAAGAGTACAGTTTCCGTGTAATTATTTCGGGTGTAAAGCTAGCCATGTGGGAGCCTGGCAGGAACGCAGTCCGCCAATCCTTTTACAACAGAGTGGCGCCCAACCAACACTCTTAATTTCCATTCTTTTCCCAAGAGCATTCCACATTGTTATTTTAGGACTGTCCATCTTTTTTTCTGCCAAGAAATGAAGTGCTGATACAATGAGCAGGTGTTGTTTTACTTCATTCTCCTCTTCTTGGAAATGCAGGTGATTCTAAAAAGCAACTAGATCAATGCTTGACCTTGAAAACATGCCTAATGTGACTACAAGTTTGATTATACTAGGTGACTAATTACTAACCTGCATTTCCTTATTATACTAAACAGTTGGCAATAATAACTTTCAAAGAATATAAATTTCTATTACATTGTTAAATGAGTTATAAAGGTAACTTGAGCAAGAGTAGAAATATATGTACAGTTTTTCCTAACAAAATTAATGTCAAGTTTGTATACATATACAAAATTTGTATAAAATATACAAAAATTGAATACAATGTAAACATTTAAAACTTTTAGTTGAATGTAGACATCATATTTTAAATTGGCATCCTGCTTTTGGGGGGCTATGATACACTTAGGGGGTTCTGAAATAAATTAGTTTTGACTAATTGTCAAATCCTGAGAGAGGTAGCTGTATTATTTTTTTGTTCTGTCTCTGTGTAATGGGAAAGTGCAGGGTTTGCCTAAAATCCTGGCTAGAGCAGTCTCTGAGCCTGGGTCATCTCAGCAAGCTACCTTGAAATTGTTCTGAGCAGTTTGCAGTCCAAAGCTGATGTGCAAATGGTGCTATCAACTGAATGACATCATATGAACCAGGTAGAATCATCGTCATGGGCCCCATCTTCTTCCTGAAGTCTTCCTGGAGACTTCAAAGATTACTGTAGAAAAAAATTATTATTTACTGTAGAAAACCTAAATATTATTATAGCAAAACAGAAAGTTTGAATTTCAATAGACATATATTCAAAGAAAGGTACAATAGAGATGAAAATGGTAGGGAGAAAAATAAATTTTTTGAGAGCAGAGTTTTGATAACCTTAGTCCCTAGATTTTATCTTCTTTTTAACACACACCAGGTCGTTCCTGATATGAAACAGAAACTCTGACTTTTTCTTGTAACAGCATACCTGGATTTAGATAAGGAGAGCCACCATCCAACTCCAAAGTTAGCTTTGATTTTTAAGTGAGTCTCAACTACAATTATACTGAGAAGTAGGGAAATATATATGTTTAGATAGTGAGATTAGATAGAGTTACTCTGCAGAGGATACTGGTATTATAAGTCATATTTCTCTTTGCTTAGTGATTATAGATAGCTATGTTTTCTTCTTCAGGCATAGATGTCCAAGGTCTCTTGTCTTTTCAAAGATGGATGTTTTCCTGCAAAGACAAGAACAGAACCCTGCCCCAAACCTTATTAGGTTTCCCTACAACCTGTAAGTTGTGAACTCTGAGGATGAGCTGTCACTTCTCTTTATCAAGTGTTTTCTCCTTTTCAAATCACATCTTGATTAATTTTGATGATATGGATAGCTTTTCTTCTGTGGAAACAAGGAGAAAATCCCTTTCCCCAACATAGCACATCTCCTGGTTTCCATTCTGAGGTCAACACATCCTTGAAATACACTGACTGATTTAATTCAGAAGTTTTTTCTATTATCCATTTTCTCTCAAACCCCTGTTTTTTCTCATTATCATTAAGAAAATTCAAGTTAATAAAGCATTATGCAATTTATTTCTCGGGGTCTGTATCATACCTTTCTGGTTGTTTAACATATCCTTTATAGTTCAATTTGTTCTTTCTATAAATGCCTAATGTGCAGGATTGTGTGGATACCTGTAATGTGCTTTATATTATAATAAGCATAAACTGATTCATTTTCTTAGACATATATGCTGGAGCATTGTCTGTTTTTATTTGTGCAGCTATGCCCATGATGGCCATAGCCTCTAGCAAATGTGTGATTACTGAATCAGCATTTTCCAAACTGAAGGCAATTACCCATTGAAAACCTGAATAGGTACATATCAATGGTGTGGTGTACTTATTTTAGTTTTCCAAATTCTAAAAAATGGAATTTATCTGCTACTTTCTGCAGGGAAAACAGCAACAACAAAACTCACCTAAAATACTACCTTGGAAATGAGTTCCCATGACATAATTGACCATAGCAGGTATCTTCGTTGCTGTGAGATGGTCTTTGCCTCTTGTGACCAGATGCTACTCTGTGTTCTCCCAACAGAGTAGCTTAGGATGTACTTGAGTTCCTAAAAACAGGTGTTATAAGTGATCTGTGTGTTATTTTTTATGGTAACTCAAAAACATTGAAATTGCCTCGTCTGGGCACTTTATACCCTCCCAATATCCATCCACAGGGCCTATTTAATGTACACCCAATGTTTCTAAGCTGTTGACTGTATCACAAAAATCACAAATGAGGTTCTGAGCCAGGCAGACATGGGGGTTCCCTGCTGTAATATCAGTAGTCAGGAGCCTGAGGTAGGAAAATGACCAGGAGCTCAAGATCAGTCTTTACTACATAGTCCTACATGGATACTAGACCTACATGGTATACAAAGAAAGATGCTATATCAAAATACTTTTAAAACAATATCACTTGAGTGAAGAGACAACTTGGAAAAATTTTTGCCAGCTATGTAATGGGTAGGGGGTTAGATTCTAAAATCTAAAATAAATATCAAGAAAACAATCAACCCAATCTAAAAATGGAACATAAGCTAAATTAAAAAGTTCTGATAAGAAGACCTGCAAATGCCTAAGAAATATTCTTTTTAAATTTTCCACATTGTTATCTATCAGGAAAGCATAGTTCAAAACTACTTTGAGATTTGGTATCACCCCAGTCAGAGTGCCTAGAAACAAAAGCACAAATGACAACAAATGCTGTTGTGGAGGTGGGAAGTAGAACACTCAGTCCCCTCTGTTGTGAGGGCACACTGGGGAAGTGACTAAGGTAATGTGTGGAAGCTCCGCAAAAAGGGAACACAGATTTACTATATGATCCAGTTGTACTACACATGGTGATATTCCCAAATGACTTCATCTCCTAATGTTGAGCTATTGCTTATCCATCACACATGCTCTACTCACAATACCCAAGAAATGGGAACAACCTAGATGCCCATCAACTGATGGATGGATGAGGAAAATGTGCAGATTTACAGAATGGAACATTACTCATCTGTTAACAAAATAGAAACTATAAAATTCATGGAGAAATTGATGGAGCTGGAAAAAATTATTCAGAAATAGGGGACAGAGACCCCTCTCATGTGTAGATAGACTTTAGCTTTCACCCTTCAGATATGCATATTCCATTGGAAATACCAACACAGGTTTTGAAATTTCTATGGTGCCATGGAGTGGTAATTACGAGACAGGGAATATTGGATTTAAAAGAGAATAGGACAAAGAAAAGTTAAATTGAGCTGGGAGGTGAGAATAGGGGAGGGGAGTAAAAGTAGGAGGGATAAATAACACTAAAAGATTTCAAAATGCCATGTGTAACCAACTAATGCAGAGACTCCCTAAGTATGTGTACTCAGAGATAAAAAAGATGATGGAGATACCCTCTACTGGGGCAACAATGCCCCTGCTACATACTACAAGGTAACAAATCAAAGTCCAGACCCAGGAATTACTTAGATTTTATAAGTTTTTTGGCCAGTGATGAACGTGATCCTTTGAGGCCACTGTTAGTGCTTTGGTTACTTTCCCAAACTTGATAGTAGTATCCTATTAGTGAAAATATCACGTTCCTGAGTTACAGAATATGGAGAAATCAAGCTGATGCTGACCCAGAAACTCCATCCCTATTGGTTATCTTTCACAGTGCTGGAATGGTCTAGACACAGTAGCAGAGGAGAAAATGAAACATTAATCACATTCAGGTATGAACTCTGTGAGCTACAATATTGACTTGACAGATAAGATACAGTCACCAATGGAATAGTGACAAGAACATCATGGTAGTAACCAACTACTTCCTGGTTGGATTTAGTAATGTTCCACAAGATGATACCCGTACTTAGTACCATATCTGAACAATAACTTTAGGTTATGCTTGTTTTCCCCCTGGTGAGAATCTGCTACAATTATTCTGCTAAAGGACATAACATTAAAACAGCTCCTGATGATTTTCCATGATACCCATAGATTAAGGCATTGCTTAACCCTTATCATGGAAGCTCATATTTGCAGTAGGTTATAATCAATACAGATATCCACAACTGGCCAAAACTCTTAGAATAAGACACTGACAAATGTCCAGAACAAAATGTAATATCTACTTCAAAAAGCACAGCAATGGCTGTGGAAGAAAGAGTAAAAAGAGTGTAAGGGCCAGAGTCATGGATAACTACAACTATACAGTATCTTCTGGACACAGCAAGGCAGCTACACATATGAACTGGCCATGGTTAAGACAGCATGTGTAAGACTTGTCAAAGCCCAAGCCTGACCGAATCTTTGCTTTGACAGGGAAGCTGAGAATGACAAGAATTAAGGAACATGAATCTAAAATTGTGAAGGAAAAAGGTTACAGTCAGAGGGGGTCACATGGGTTTTGTCTTGGGTGAGACTAAATTGGAATCTGCACAAGACCTCAGACAATGTGTTGTGTGACTTTAGTTCAGACTGCATTTGTGGAGTCAGGAACCAGGAAATTTATCTTTCAAGGGCTGCTTTCCTACATAGTCAGTACTCTGCTTATCTGTGTTTCCGATCTTTTCCAAGCCCCGTTCCACACTGGCCTTTTCTGCCAAGTAAAGATGAGTAATAAAATGAAAAACAACTTTTGTTTTACTTCACTTTCCTTTTTCTGGAAATGCAAGTGATTCCTAAAAGCAACTGATCCTTGCTCCTCTGTGACTGGTCAAAACACACTGAGAGGGGAGGGGCAGAATTTAGAAGGTCTATAAGTCCTGCAGAGGAAAGAGGAGTAGGTTTCACGTGACAAGACTGGACTACAGTAGAGGGTGGTTCCTGCAGCTGAACTACAGTGAGCGCACACAGTGGACTCGGGATTCTCTGGTAAGTGGACAATGGCATTCAGATCTAACCCTCACCTTCTCTCTTCTTTTAAGAGCTGAGAGGTAACAAGGCATTTAGGAACATGTCCTGATAGTGGTGATCCTCAGTTTAAAGCTGGGATGCTTTGGTGGAAGGTGGACAGGACTGCCTCATGGATGGTCTTAGCCAATTCTTTAAGTTGAGGTAAACCCAAAGGAAATGATATGGATATTGATTTTGATAAAAAAAACATTTTCAACTGTTTTGGCTTGTCTGACATGGCTGTAAATAGCTGCTTCCGGTGACAGAATATCTCTACAGTGTGCATGAGGTTGTTGTATGTCACATTCATCTTGTTTCCTAGTTCAGACTCAACTATTAAATTCCTTACATTCCAAGGCCCCTGGTCTGTGGAGAAGAGATCTCTCTGCACACTGCTTTTGATGTAGCTGGCTGTGGAAATCTGTGCCTGAAGAATCTTGTAGACTGTGGTCTTCTTTATTGTAAAGCAGGGGTGCTAAGACCTTCTCTCCATCTGTGAGGAACATGAGCTTTGCAGGATGTGGCGACAGCTGTCATTTAGGCAGGCTTCCTGTTGTAATGATTGCTCTGTCACAGCCTTCTCGTTCCCTAAGTTCATACTCAGTAGAAAGACCTTGCAGACGACTGTCATTGGTATCTGAACCACAAATCCAGGAATGGAGAGAATGAGAGGGGAAAACTTGAAAGATGAGAAAAGCTTGTGTGCTTCAGGGACATTCTGTCTGTGTCCTGTGGGTGACTGTCCCCTTCAACAGTAAATCTGGCTATGGTGTTTCTGTAATCAGGTTTAGCTGCCCTTTTAGGACATTCTCTTTACTCACCTCTTCCTGTCCTGTGCCTGCAATCAGACTGCTATCTGAAGTGCACTGTACTGTGGGAGGATGTCAGCAAATGATCCCAGATGAATACACATTGTGTGGCAGTGAGTGCTGTGGAGAGACAGAAACATAGTGAGAGGATGGTGAAAGATGCAGGCAGGTACACTTTTATATCTCAATATGGGGGTAAATGCTAAAGCCTGCCTAATCAAAGCAGAACCTACAGAAAGGTCATTAAGTTACTAGCCATGTGCCTACCGGGGAAGAGCAGTAAGGAAAAGAAGCAGTGACAAAGCACAAAGTCCTGAAATGAGAAGACAGACTGAGATACCGGGGTGTCTGGAATTCAGACACCAGATGTCCCAGAAGTATAATAATTATATTCAAAGATATGTTGTATGTAGCATGTACACTCTATACCTAATGTGTGGCCCGAGTGAAACTGGAATTCTTATGGTACATTTCAGGATTGACGTGACATGATATGACTTCAGTGTCATAACTCTGGCTGTTGGATCATCCATGTTGTTGCAAGAACAATCACAGGAAACATAGCAATGCCCATGAAATACTCAATGCTGGTACCGAGGAGGTCTTGAGGAAGATTATGCAGGGAGAGTTATCCATTGTGTTTGGATTTGGAAATAGAGATTAAGTCTATGAACTGAGATGGTAGAGGTGAGACGGACAGAGGGGGCTCAGGGTGGCAATGGGGATTTGCCATCTCCTTAACTAGTGGTGAGGTCCTTGTGCTGCTCTAAGAGGTCTTTTAGGCAGGTCTGTAGAGAATAAAGGAGCAGGAATATGAGATCTGAGCTACCTAAATACCCAACAATCAAACTCAAGTCCTTGAATCTGGCAGAAAGTGTATTTACCTGCTGAGCCATCATGATGAACTTGATATTCATTTTCTTGAGACAGGGTCTCAAGTAGCCCAGGCTAGCCTCTAACTCACTGTGTATCAAGAATCCCCTGAAAGTACTCAACCTTTTACGTCTACTCCATGTGTAGCAGAACTACAGGGATCCACAGGCGCCTGCATTTGATGAGGTGCTGGGGATTGAACCCAAGGCCTTAGTAATGCTGGGAAAGCTCACTACCAGCTGATCTACATCTCCAGCACACAGTTAGATAAGTGCTGACTTGATGACTCTGAAATATGGTATTGAAGAAAAGGATTTTAACAGTAAGAGTAAGAAGTTTTATATGATTACAAGTTTATACTCTTCATAGAGATGAATTCCAGTTCATGGAAAAGACAGAATGAAAGTAAATCTAGAAAAATTAAAAATTATTTCAACCAAATACAGTAGTTGGGCTTACTGACATATTTTGAAAAATAGATAAAACAGACGAATTAGGTTTTCATGTCCATTTGAGATTTCACATTGATTAAATATTGATGTCAATTATAATTCATTATTATTTATTTTTCAGTGTGAAAAACTAGATGTGTATTGATTTAATTTCTATTCATCTGAAGCACACACTGAAAGAAGTGTGCAAAGATGGTGAAAATATCATGGATTTGAAATACAACACTGCAGTCAGGTTAAATGCAATACAGTTGCATTTGTTTTTGTTGTTCTTGTTCCTGGCTAAAGGACTCACGCTATTTTTTATATAATTGGCCCTTACTTTACTTAAGTTTTAATTTCTCCATAATTAAGGGTTTAATTGAAAACTAGAAGAAATTTATTCTAATTTCCTTCCGACTGCTTGTATACACACTATGACCAAAAGGTTTTTGAAAAAAGAAATGTTTTTTTTTAGGTTTACACTTTCTGCTCACACTCAATTGCTGAGGCAATTCAAGGTAGAAACTTTACAGGAATAAAAGCAAGAACAATGAGAGAATGCTGTTTGCTGACTGACACCCCATAGTTAGACACTGCTTCCTTATATTACCAAGGACTACCAGCCCAAGGATGGTACTACCCAGATTAGGCTGGGATCTCTCATATCAATCCTCAATCAAGAAAATGTTTCATAGGCATACCCCGAGTTCATTCCAACAGGGGAAATTCCTCAAATGAATTTTCTCCTCCAATAAGACTATATCTGGTATCTTGTTGACAAAAAACAAAATATCAGAAGAAAATGTATGGGAAAGAGTCAATATCAGAACATAAGTATGGCTGCAGCACAGTGAAGAAACACAGTGCTAAGGACAAAGTCATCTTTGATCTTTTGCAACTTACTCTCTTCCTTTTTTTCAGTGATTACTTTTTTTTAATCAGAATCATGGGTCAGTTATTCTCTGATACATCTAAAAATGAAGACAACGGAGATTTGGTGTCCAGCGCAACTAAATATTTTATGAAGATTAAGGCAGAAACCAAAATCATTTCTCAGGAGACCATTCGTTTAATAGAACTTCATCTGAAAAAAGGAAACATTCAAGGAGCAAACTCTGTAATAATTAATGCTTTAAAAAATATTGATAAGGCCCCAATAAACATTGCTGTGACTGGAGAGTCTGGAGGAGGGAAGTCCAGCTTCATCAATGCCCTAAGGGGGGTGGGACCTGAAGACCAAGATGCAGCTGAAGAAGGGGTAACTGAAACAACTATGATGAGAACTTCATACAAACACCCCAAAATTAAAAGTTTGACTTTATGGGACCTGCCTGGCATTGGAACTATGAACTTTCCACCAAACGATTATCTGGAGAAAGTGAAATTCCAAGAGTATGACTTCTTTGTTATTGTTTCTGCCTCACGTCTTACAAAACTTGAACTAGACCTTGCCAAAGCAATCATATTCATGAAAAAGAATTACTACTTTGTAAGAACCAAGGTCGACATAGATTTAGAAAATGAGGAAAAATGCAAACCACGTAACTTTAACAGAGAAAAGACCCTGCAGCAGATCAGAAGCTACTGTGTGAACACCTTCAGTCAGAATAGCATGGATGCTCCACACATTTTCTTGATTTCGAACAGACATTTATCTGACTATGATTTTCCAGTCCTGATGGACACCCTGATAAAGGATCTTCCTGATCAAAAGCGCCACAATTTTATGCTTTCCTTGCCTAATATCACAGAGGCAGCCATTGACAGAAAGCACAAGTCTATGCAGCAGTATATTTGGATGGAAGCCTTCAAGGCTGGAATTTTGGCTACTGTTCCTGTAGTGGGCATAATCAGGGATGATGTAGAGAAGCTGAAGGAAAAGTTAAACCACTATCGAGTCCTCTTTGGAGTGGATGATGAATCTTTGGAATTCATGGCTAAGGATTCTCAAATGCCTGTTGAACAATTGAGAAAAATCCTTAGATCACCCTTTTTGTTAGAAACTAAGAAAGAAGAAACATTAAGAGAATCGTTTTTAAAATATTTTCAAAAATGTGCCTCAGCTAATGGTGGACTCCTTGCTACAGGTCTTTACTTTACCAGAACCTTTTACTTAGAATTTCTTTTCCTTGACACAGTGACTGAAGATGCCAAAGTTCTCCTTAGAGAGACATATTCAAAAATATAGTTCAAATTAAACTGACCATGACAAGATCAAATGGTTAATGCCAGGAAGTCACTGGATAAATTGCCTCTATGATATCTTTTTTTTACACTAGCCAATCCTCTGCCACTATGGGACAAACTAAGGGTAAGAGTCCTGTGTGTTAATATGTCAGAACCTGACAGCCCCAGCTTCACCAGTCTACCTTCCCCCTTGTCTTTCAACTCCATATGCACACTTGGATATACATGCACAAGCACACACACATGTATGAATGCATGCGTGCATTCATGCATGTGCACACATTGCATAAAGCACTTGCCGTGCCATGGAGATAGAAGGAGAAGAGATCAATTTACAGAACTGGTATAAATGTTGAGTGGGTGCGACAGCCTCCTTGTATTCCAAACTCAGAATGCAGAAACAGTGGAACCATGGAGAAAGCTGTCCAGTTAGATCATGTAAGTCTGAAAACTCTGGGTTCAGCTGTCAGACTCTGCCTTGGAAAACGAGAGAAAGTATTTGAAGATAAGGCCTAACATAAGACAGACCTGCCTAGAAACATGTGAACATGCATACCGTACAGAGAGACACATTTTAAATATGAAAAAAATGAAATTCAGAAAGTAAAAAAATCAAAAGTCTTACAAACTACTGTTGTGAGATATAAATTGTTAAGATGAGCCCAATGTGGACAACTACATCCACATAAAATTTGACAGAATTTAATAAGAAATTCCAAACACAAAAGAACAGAGTTTAGTGCAGCATCTTGGTAGTCACACTTTTTTTTTCCCCCGATGGGCTCTGTTTGCTTGTGGCAAGCAAGGGCACAGCGGCTCCTTTAGGAGAGGTCTTCCTGACTCAGCTTCTCAGCGATGGCTGCTCAGTTTCCTTAGGAGAGGGCTTACTGGTTTGTGCTGCACAAACAACTCTGGTTCTTTCTGGAGATAAAGCACTTAAATAGGGTATGTGAGCAGCATGTTACAAATTGCTTAATGGTGATGTAGATGTAGTGAATATGCCTCTGCCATGTTAGAATGGGTGGAGTCTGCAGGCAGGGCTGCAGAGTTGGTTCTAGTCATGCCTGCTTAGTATTTTTTAAAAATATGTGGTCTGCTCAAAAAAATTACTTACAGATACACACTTAATAAAGAAAAATTCAGATTTTTTTTGTAAAAAAAGGGCCTCTAAATGGGTCACAGTGTTGCATAAAAGTACATAGGCTGGGAGAGAGAGAGGAAAAAGTATATAGACAGTTATAATATACAAAAGTACAGGCAGTCTTATTTTAAAGGAGTAAAAATAATAAAATGAATATTAAACTTGAAGAAAAAGTAAAAGTAAGAAAAATGAGTCACATGAAGATGAAATATACACCAAAAGTCTAGATTATGTATATTAATGTGTTTTATTTGAATTTTTTGACTGTGAATGAGCTTAGCACAGAGAAATATTTGATTCTGGGGGCTGTTAAGCTAAACCAATATATATATTTTAAAGGTATCTTGACTTCAAAATTTGGGTCTAAGGATATGTTGCTTTGAAAAAGAGGCTTTGCTTTTCTTTCCACAGAAGATGAGAACCTGTGGATTCCTTCTGAAGTAATGTGGTTTAATGAACAAAGACCCTCTGAAAGGTCTCAACAGACCCCAAAATTACATTGCTCAACAGAAAGAAAGAAACAATTTTAAGAGAACTATACCCAAATTCCCAAATATCCTTTATAAATGTTTGTTTGCATTTAAAGGGGGATATGCTATAGAGATGAATACTTTGAATTTTTTTAGATCTTTGTTTATTGATACAAACTTTTAGGTCAATTTTGTTATATTATATTTCTGCTCTTGTTTAAGGTATTGTGTTTGTGAATTTTATTTCAAAATGTAATGTGTACTTAAGAAAAACAGATTAATAATCATTTGTAATAGTCAAACATGTAGTCATTTTAGTTGGGTTGTCTAGATGTAGAGATTTATATTTCAGATGGATAGGTATAGTTGAAATCTTTCTAAGATATGCAGAATATGATATTTAAAATGTTTTAAGAACTTAAGCTCTTCTCAACAGTAAGACATGTCTGCTTCTGGCAGCACCAATTACTTCAGAGAGAAGCTCCTTATGGAATTTGCCTTCAATTTATGGAATTTACCCTTCAGTGTAACAAGGGTAGCCATTTGGGCAAGAAACTCTCTTTCCTGGACTCATAGATGGTATGCTGTACGAACTGGACATGCAGGACTCACAAAAATAACTGCTAAACTAGCCTAAAGATGAGACAGTCCTTCAGGGTTCATGCTTCATAAAAGAGTCTGACAGACATTGTGCCAGATACAGAAGAAAGTGAATGACAAACTGTCAATAGAGGCAAAACAGTCTTTGAAATTTCCTGCTTCAAGGAAAAGTCTACTGGATACTCTGGGCATATACGATGAAGATGGATGACCCAATGTTATAGAAGAACTTTGGGTGACTGTCCAGGCCATGAGATATCTTTGTCAATTCTAGAGTTTTGGAAATCTTTGAAAATGCACTTTCTGTTAACTTAGATAATAATGAAACATTTGGTTGTCTTTGATGTAGTTGAAGAATAGATAGTTATAATTATAGTTTTACTTAGTTATGATAAAAATAAAATAGATATAAATATTGTAACTGTAATTCTTGCTTGATACCTATTTTTTATGTTTAATTTTGCTATGTTAAAGTTGAAACCTTCCTTTTTATTTAGACAGAAAAGGAGAGGTGAGGTGGGATTCCCCTCTGTATGCTATGAATGTGTTTTGTTGCCATTGGTTAATGAATAGTGCTGCTTTGACCCACAGAAGGGCAGAAGACAGCAAGACAGAAATCAAGCAGAGATAGAGAAGAAAGTATGCAGAGTCAAAGAGATGTCATGTAGCTGCCTAAGGAGAAAGATGCCTACCAGTAAACCACAACCTTGTGGTGATACATAGATTTTTAGAAATGGGTTAATTAAATATAAAAGAATTAGCCAGGAACATGTCTAAGTCACTGGTCAAGCAGTGTTGTAATTAATATGGTTTCTGTGTGATTATTTTGAGTCTGGGCATCTGAGAAACGAATAAGCAGCCTCTGCCTACAAAGTAAAAACAAAAATCTAAGTAAATAACACTTATCTCTGTCATTCCAGAGTTGTGGTGTGAATATAGTTTGTCCTTAGGAACCTCCAACCAGGCCATAAGCTTTAGTCTTGGCTTTCACAACCCAAGAGCAGACAGAGTCAGCCACCAAAGCTTGGAAAGGATCCACATCACTTAGCAGTTTAAAGGCTCATGAGGTCAAAAAATGCTAAATGATACAGTAAAAGAGGTTCAGACAGAAAAAACTGTAAACAGGTTCCAGTGTGTTCTACAATGTACGTACACTTTAGAAAGAAAATTTTTTTGGATAGCCACAGAAAGAAATTAATTAAAAATAATGAAGTTTTTAAAGAGACAATAAAAGTAAGAGAAAAAATCCACATTAGATGGGAAATATGCAAGGAGTCTGTATAGTATTGTGTTGAAGTTTTTGAATGGTGATGGACAAAAGAGAGCTGTTAGGAGATATGGGATTATGAACAGGACTGATAAATCAAACCAACCTATATACTTTAGGATTATCTTAACTTTAAAAATTAAGTCAAAAACATATTCGTCAAATGGAAATCAAAAATGCTTCAGAGTTGTATTTCCACAGGAGACAAGAAGCTTTGGATTCCTTCAGGAGTAGTGTGGATCAGCTTTGAACAATGAGACCTCAGTTTTGACAGCTGATAAATATCTACAAAGGTTATAGCTTATCTTCCCAGTACTTGGCCATTATCCCAATTTTCCACGGAGACCCCTAAATATGTCTATGCCCACACACAATAGGATGCAATTTGGAGAACACAATGCTCAAAAACTCAAGAAGGATATACTGGATTTTTGGGTTCCAGTCTGTTTGGATGCTCACCTTCCTGAACCTGGAGGGAGGGGGTAGGAACTTGAACTTCCCACAGGGCAGGAAACCCTGACTGCTCTTAGGGATGGAGAGAGAGGAGGAGAGGGAGTAGGGGGAGTGGGAGGGTGTTGGGAGGAGGGGCAGAAATGGAAACATTTTTAAATTAATAAACTTTTATAAATAAAAAAATTAAAAATAAATAAATGAATAAATAATTTTTAAAAAGTACAAAAAAGAAAAATAATAATTTATAACAAAACATAGAATATTAAGTTTGACTGTGGTCCTCAATAGACACATGTTGGAAGGAAGGCTGCTTCTTGGTTCCCAGCTACTTAGCGCCGAAATAATCACACAGAAACTATATTATTTAAATCACTGCTTGACCCATTAGCTCTAGATTCTTATTGGCTAACTCTTACATCTTAATTTAAACCATCTCCATTAATCTGTGCATCACCATGAGATCATGGCCTACTAGCAAATTTCAACTCATCTGTCTCCGGCGCCAGCTCCTTGGATTCTCTCTGACTCTGCCTTCTTCCTCCAGCATTCAGTTTACTTTTCCCCACCTAGCTAAGTTCTGCCCTGCTATAGGTTCAAAGAAGTTTCTTTATTAATTAACCAACTGTATTCATAGCATACAATATTTGCAATTTCATATGTCCATAGTTCTTGCTGTGCCTGGAACACATGGTTTTCTTGGTGCCATCCATCCCTCTTGCTCTTATTATCTTTCTGCCTCCTCTTCTGTTTAAGTCATGAGGGGAGGGATCTGATGAAGCAATCCCATTTAAGATTAAATGTTCCAAGGTCTGTCACTCTTTGCACATTGCCCAGTTGTGAATTTCTATATTAATTACCAATTCTTGCAGGAGAAAGATTCTCCACGGATGACTGAGTTAAATACTGATCTATGAGGATAGCAGAATACAGTTAGGAGTCTGTTGTGGAATATTACTTTAACAAAGATGTGTTATATTTGTTTATGCTACAGAATATGACTTTAATTGTATAAAGGTGTTTATGCTGCATTTGCATGACTATGTAAGATTGTTGAATTTGTTTTACCGTGCCTCCCTAAGGTGCTTAATTGGTCTAATAAAGAGGAGAACAGCCAATAGGTAAGGCTGAAAGAGGAACAGGTGGGCCTGGTGGGCAGAGAGAATAAATTGAAAGGGAAAACTAGGCTTGAGAAGAATGGGAGAAGAAGGAAGAGTGAATGATGGAGAAAGAAAGGGACATGCCCAGGGGCAGAAGTTAGGTAGCATCAGCCAAACCCTATGAGCAGTGATAGTAAAAGATACAGAATGAAAGAAAGGTAAAAAGTCCCAAGGCAGAATGTAGATAAATAGAAACAAATTAAAATAAGAGCTAAGATAAGGCAAGCATTCAAAATTAATAAGTCTGTCATGATTGGTGGTTCAAAAGAAAAAGTTTGGTACAGGAGTTATTGCATTTCTTTAACAGAACAATAATATTTTGTTTTACTCTAGGATCATGGCCTATCTAGTCTTGGATTCCTGGCTACCTGAGTAGTATCAGGGATGCATTCCATCTCATAGAGTGGGCTTAAGTTCAATCAGATAATGGTTTGTTACCCCCACAGCATTTGCATCACTATATTGCACCAACATATCTTGCATGTAGGTCACCA